TCACAAAGCAGTGTGGAAAGTCTCCCATCCGCCCGTGGAAAGGGAAACTTGTCGCTCCTGGACCATTTGAGGCGGACAGTCTGCTGTGGGCACCCAGGATCTCCTCCGCTGCCCGGAGCCACGGGGAGGGGGGGGGGGGGCGCTTTTTTGCGCGCAGCGTTTCGCTCTCAGCTCCGTCTCTGCCCGCTCGCACTCGATGGATGACTGTTCCTTCCTTCCTTCCTTCCATCCGAGTTTAAGGGTCCATCCTTTTCCTCTCAGTCTTTAGGGGTGTCAGATTACCGAACGTGGAAAGAGGGGAAAGAAACGTCCACCTCATGCAGAAAATTAGTTAAGATTGCACGGCGCGTAAAACAGCGTCTCCCAGTGTTCAGAACGAAAGGCCAGGCGAGCAGCCCGTGGTTTGAGTTTTTGTTGTGCAACAACTCACAAGAGAGACAGACAGCAGATCTGTGGTCAGAAAAAAACAACTCTAAATCAGTGGATTACCACATGTGCTTTCCTGTAAATAAGGAGAGTCACTCCTCCTTGTTTGAGGATTTGTTAACAAAATCACTTAATACAATCCTTTATAGAGTTAAAAAAAAAATTGAATATGCAGACTGTTCCATGCAGACTGCATTAGTTGAGTAGATCGATCAAATGTTTTTATTAACAAATTAACGTATTGTAGTAAAATCAGTTTATCAGATGTTTTCTGCTGTGTGATTGTTTATTAAACTTCATCTCTGCCCTCAAGCGGGTTGCTACAACCTTACATTAAACCATATATTCTTCCACAGAAGGCCCAGAACCCATCATTAGACTAAACCTACACTTACGATGTTATTCACAAGATCAGAAATGGTTTTAGAATAAAACAGTTGATCTGCACGGAGCATATATGATCCGGTGGGGGCCAGTTAGCATGGACTTTTTCGTAGTTAATTTACTCAAATTGTAGTGTGTCACTGTCTACAAACTAGACGTAAATGTTATGCAAGATTTAAAGGTTTATAGCTCAGCCAGCCAACCAAATCAGCACAGATCTCTATTGCACAATACCTTTGTATAGATCCTAGCAAATCACTGCAAGGTCTGAATCAAGTGGCCGGATCAAAACTTTTAACAGACCCAGAAGAGTTTTTGGTATCATCACAACTTTTTTACGTTTACTTTATTTTCAACAAGTTGCCATGCAACTTATGGAACCCTGAACTTCTAACAAGTCATCAAACTGAGAAGTGGCTTTGTTTGCATGGATGTTCGTCACGAATACTTTGGAGTAAGAAATCAGACGATATTTATTTGAATGTGCACCTTCACACAGAATCATCAAAGACATTGTCTGCCTATCTGTGTTTTCACAAGGGGCTGAGAGGGCTAATAAAATAAAGCAAATATTGGAGAAATAGCACGAGGCAGAAATAAATGAACTTGGATCTGTTGTGAACATCACCTTTTTATCTTGGATTAAGGGTACATGTGTTTGAATTAAGCAGTCCTTGTATTGAGTTTGCTTTTGAAAATTAGGATTCAACAGACAGTGCAGTGGAAATAATAGAGTAAATATTCACATAGCTGGACTTGCCTCACACAAGAAAACTTCCAGGAACCTTTCAGTGAACATCAAACCCCCTATATAATACAGACACTTCATGTTAAGATAAATAGTGGTCCAGTTATACCAGGATTCAATGGGATGTTATTGTGATTTTATGTATGCTTATTACCTTGTAAGAATCTGAAAAGTTGTCTCCAAACATGGCACGAACATGTATAAAGACAGTTTAATCATAGAACAATTAACAGTCAAAGGTCGCTCAGAATAATGAAAGTAATCTCAGGTAGATGAGACTCATTAAAATATTTGAACAAATTTTGTCTTTCCAGGTGTCTGAACTTAAAAAGAATTCCACACTGCCACTGAGATAAAAGCTATGCGGCTCAAAACTGTCTGGGATAAAATATGATCTGACTATAGAGTTCATATTCCGGTCTGTACTTGTCATTTTAATGAGTCTTGAGTAAGAGGAGTATACCTCTGCAAGCTTTTAGTAACAGCTGCTTTGCAACACGAGCCAAACCGACAGACCTGCAGAATTCATTTGTTTGCAACTTGTTGTCTTGGCAGTGAAGAGATGTGAACAGTTTAAAAGTTTCTTGATTTCAAAGGGATACTTTAGGTCAATGCATATCTCTATCTTAGACTTAGACTCAGCTTTATTTATCCCTTACTCTTTCAGGAAATTCTGATTTCAGTACAGCCCGCCCAAGATCATACAAAAAAAGACACAAAGACATACAGGTTCGGGAAGACTGTGGTTCAGCCCCTTCGAAAGCGCCCCCTTTTTCTTCTGAAAAAAGATACATTGGGAAAAGGGGTTGCGGGAAGAGGGGGAAAAAAGCCCCAGTGTCACGCCCCCTACAGGGGTTACATCTGTAACTATATAATTACGTGAAATGCCTTATTGGTTAAATATTTTCCTTTTTTGACAAAACCATAAAGAGCACATTGTTTCCTATATCTAAGAATAAAATAATGATATGTTTGGCAATCTACTTTAATTAAAGTAAGTTTAGTGTCATTACTCCTTTTGTGCAAATATGCACATTTTTCATTTCTAATTTTAACAGATAATTTACAGTGGTCTGAACAAAGGGCTGCACCACAGTTCTTCTCTGCCAAAAGAAAATGCCCACATCTTCCCATTACTGCACGTAGGCCCGACAAACAAAGGGTGGGTCAATATATGGCAAGAAAATGCTTTTATTATAGTTCAGAATGACAAATAGGTATGGACATTATCTTGCTGTTCCAATACACAAGCAAATCTGTATGGACAATCATTAGCTTGATGAAAACCAAATAAAATAATTTGTACACATATTTTACAATACATACTGTAAATCCTTACTGACTAGAGCAATATGCATTATGCAGGAAGGTATTGCTATTCATATAGTACAGCTAATTACAGTTTATATGAAAAAAGCAAAAATAAGTTATTTAAATATCAATTACATATACAGAATGTGCAACTTCTGCTAAGCATTTCATATATGTAATTAAGAATTATTTTTTATAAGACTGAAAAAAATGGAAGTAACTGAAGGTTGACTCAGTACTGGTTATCAAACTTGGCACTGTGAACTCAATATTAAAAGAAAAAAACCAGCATAACCCATTGAAACCCTTTACAATACCTGACAACAAATGTCCATTTGAGGACCTGTGAGCAAGTGTAGCCAATTCTGCCTATAAAACTGCTAGATTTACCATCTAAAGTGCATTTACAGTGTCAATATTTTCATTCTTTACACTTCTTGGGGCTTTTACCTATTAAAATGTGACCCCAAGCCCAGAGCACCACATTGATTGAAGAGAGAGAAAAGGCATCCAATATCTATCTATCAAGTGCCCACTGCATTAAAAAAAACAAACAAAAAAAAAAACAGCTTGTAATTTAGAAAGAACAGCTGGTCACGTGTTTAAAAATGAAATCCATGGAATAAGTGATCAGGTCAGTTCTGACTATGAAAGATATAAATGTTATAACATGAATAAAACGCACACACACACACACGCACAAGAAATATTTGTTTGCTCCTTCTCATGCAGAGCGCACAACTGAAAAAAAGTAACAACTTTCTGGCTATATTATGTTTTTGGACCAAAAAATCTGACCTTGCTCAGCGATCCCTGAAAATCTAGACTTTTTTTTTTACAGAAGGTGGACGCCTACCTCACATCTGACACACTAGTTAGCTTTTACCATTTCTTAGACTTTCTTTGACAAGACTCCAAATTTGCAGTTTCTTTGAGTTAAAACTTAAAATTGCTCCTGAAATTACTTGTTTTGGCAACCAAAGTGTGGTCAACCCAATGAATTCCAGATATAGCATCCAAGATGTCTGTGTAATTTTTCAGTTTCTCCTGCTACCTTTGTCTAAAAAGCACCACTTATGTATTTTAGAGTGGTCTAGGAGTGCTTACTATGGGATGAGCTTGAAAAAAATCACCCATTCTCTGGTCCACATACCCATGTATAACCAAAACTAGTCTTGTTAGATCTCAAAAACACTCGGAAATAAGAGGCTTGCACTTTTGGCGCATTTTCTCAGTCACAGTGTAGTAAAAACTACAACCTGCACTATTTCTGACAGCTTTTCATTCATAAAAGTAAGGCAGCTTAAATGTCCTTTTATGCAGAGGGGAATGTATTGTTTCAGTGAGAGCTGATTGTGATTAAAACCGGAGGCCAAAGCCTTCTTTAAGACTGATATTAGTAATGTGTGCATTGAAAAAATGCTGTGAGGTAAGACCCACAGTAAAATACAGAGGTGTGGTGTCGGCTGTTTCAGCTCAGAAATAACTGAGAGCTGGCCTCGAAAAGGCCATAACATTCAAAACACAAAAACATTTTTAAACATATAGATCATTTTGAAATTAAGATGTGCTTTAGGCTATAGTACAGAAACATGATACAAAATAGGATATATGTTACCAGTTGTTTTGTGCCTGTATTTAGTTGATTAAAAGTCCAGATATTGCCCTCAAATTACACTCACTTCCCACAAGAGTTAAAAATGATTCACTCTTGAAATATGCAGTGAAAAAAAAACATCTTTTCAGTAAGAAAACCATCCATTCCAAAGAGAGTGCCATCTTCCGTGAAGGCAGATCCAAGTTTTGATTTTAAGACTTTGGGGGTGTCCTCAGCATGGAAGCCGCCACGCTGACTGAGTCAGCTATGCTTTTATTTTGTCTTTTTAAAAGGCATTTGATATCTAGTCTTGGCTGTTGGGAGAAACACCTCAATATCGTAAACATTTGGGGAAAGACAAACTTTAAAAAAGAGGAAATCCCAGAGCAGGGCAGCTCGTGTTGGTTCGCTTTTACATGTGCACGACGGGGAGGGCTATAATGCCGCGGTGACGCGTGGTTGCTCAGTCCGGTGGCCACCTATTGGTCACGTTTAAAGGAGATGATGCTGACCACCGAGTTGATTCCACTGACATTATTGCTGCACCTCCCTGTGCACGTTGACCAGTCGGGCCTCACTGATCAGGCGGTGGCGGTGTCTTTCATCCCGCACCCCGGCCTCCCGCACACTGTTCTCGGTTAACAAGGCAACGCGGCTCAGAGTGTCGACGCCTGCCGCTGCCAGAGATGTGGCGTACATGGGCAAGCCGATGGAGACCAGCCAATCAGACACTGTGCTGATGTTACTCAAGGGTACGGGTCTCCTGCACATTTCCGTCAAACCTCCAGAGGGGATCTGTGTTAACAGTGGGGCAGAAAAGGAATAATTTTTAGAACAGCTCTAATAATAAATGTCTATTGTTATTGTAAGTAGATATGTGATCACATAAATGCTGCAAAATTGTAAAAAACTGTTGCAAAAAACAGACTTCATTGCATCTGTTTTAATTATAATACACAGCAACTAGTATTCATCAAGCTTTGTCCGACATTATCTTAGAAAAAAGGGAAAAAGTTGTCTTACAGCCATGCGGTGTTGCTTACGGAGATCTTTGACTCTGAGTTGGTCCATGGTTGAGGCCACTTCTTTGACAGGTTGCTCCAAGTCCTCAGAGTAGCGCTGAACCAGCGGCTGAGGGATACCACAACGCCCATGCTGAATGGAGGAAGCACAGGGAGAAATATCGAATATGGATGAATGGGAAGAGGACTACAATTTGTCCACAAAGAAAAAGCTTTGACAGCATGACACAAAGGGAGGGGGCTGACCTGAAGGAGAAGCTTGTCTGTGTTGTGCTGACAGAACTATTAATCAGACTCTTAAAAGGGATAAAAAATTATGTCCATATTTATTTCGGCCTCTTACACTGAAATCCTTTTTCACTGAATTTGGAAACATCAAAATTTACAAGACTTCTAAATTGATTAGGGATTTTATTGCATGTACTGATTTAGCTTAGGAAAGAAGTCTTACTGACACTTGCTCTCATTCTTCATCTTTATGTGTGCACATGTGAAGCTATGGCAAATCTTCAACAAGACTTGGCTTTGGTAGGCTAAACTGGATCAGAATTACCTTGGGTATAAAAGAACAGGATCATTGAAAAAAACAAACCAAACCTTGACGTTATTTGTCCCTCAAAAAACTCTAGATAAGTCAAGTGGAGTCACGCTGACTGTTGTGTGACGTTCTTAAATCTTGGTCAGCTCATAAAAAACATTTTCACAGCAAAATAGACTAAACTGCTCATTAAATTACATGAATGAGTTGAGACACTAGTGGCTTGGGGCCAATTCTCATGCTGATGCTACAACAGCAGCAAAGAGTTCCCCCAGTCTTTGCCAATCCATCCACGATAAACAGAAAAACTGTGGTCTCAGGCGCTACTTCTCACCTCGTTCCTTAACACCCCTGTCTGTATGAATCTGAGTTGTTTCTCTGCCAGTATTGGGGGCTCTGCCATGTTTTAGGGGCCAAGCCTGGGGTCTGGTGAGTGCCAAAAAGTTTTATGACCCCATCTGCCTTCAGTAAGATTCAGGCCATAAACTTAACAGTCTGAACCGCATCATAGCCAGACTAAAGCCACAGTCTTTTCCTCTGTGCCCCAGGCAGTGTGTTTATTATTGCTCATACACACTCCCCCACACCATAAGTCAGGAATAAATACTCTAACCCATAAAGCAGCTTCTGAACACACTCACAGACCTGAGATGCTATTTGTGTCTATTTATAAAGAAAATGGCTTCTTAAGTAAGCTGCTGATTTCACTGTCATAAAGAAAGGACAATTTGGAAGCAAGTTTCAGAAAAATTATGACTGTGTTAAGTTAGGCATGATACAGTGATAAACAAGAAAAAGTTTGACCCCAGAAAAGTATAGTCCTGAGGTGTCTGACTACTTCAAATCTGACTTTGATCGGTATCAGTAAAAAAAAAGAGTCAATGATTAAAAAAAAAATTTAAGGTAGGAATCAAATTTGAAAAAACTTTTGGTAGCCAGTATTTTACGTGTTTTTTTTTTCCCCAACTAAAACTAAAAAGTCATTCTCCCGTGCAGACCTTGTCGGAGTACGGCTCCTCTGTGAGATCGATGCCCTCGGCCTGCAGTCGCTGCTCCAGGAGGGTAAGCAGGTCAGGACTCATTTTGGAGTGAGAGGCCTTCCTGGTCACGGCCATTTTACCCCCGAGATCTGCGAGCCACGGAGGCTGCGCTGCCGGTGGGCTCCCTGATTCTTCACCCGTGGACGACGGCGTGGAGGCGGCGCTTGGGCTGGCCGGCGTGGGCGGTGTCTTCGCGGGGAGGGCCGGGGCGGTGAGGCCGGGGCTGGGGCTGCGGATTACGGGGCTGGGGCTCCGGATTACGGGGCTGCTGGGTTGCGAACGGATGAATGAGTGGGAAGGCGAGGCGCTGGGCGACGGTGTGGAAGGCAGGGACAGAGGTGGGTGACGCAAGCCATTGGCCAGCCTCTCTTTTGACTTCTTTGCGGGAACGGGAGGCGGGATGGGAGGCTTTTTGGGGTGAGTCCGGATGAGCCTCTCACCGCTCGCACTGGAATCAGGAGGACTTGGAATGGGACTTGAGAGAAGCTCTGGAGTGTTGGAGGACTGGGCTGTCGGACATGGAGCGCGAAGAGACAGCTGGGAGGGTATGATTGGTCTGTCCACCCCTCCTTTGAAGCTTACCGATGGACTCCCATTTTGGGCTGGAGAACTGTCCTCCCTACAGACCTTGATGGGACTACTGCTGCTGGATTTAAATAGTTCCTTGGTGGGTTTAGGCACCACATTAGGGTCAGCTTTCTGCTTAGAGTTTGCGTCCCAGTGCAGATCTCCCAGAGAGTGGGAACGTTTCCAGGGTCCGTTGGGCTCGGGGGGGCCATCGAGATCCTCACAGCTGCGGCTGGCTGGTATGGGAGACTTTCTCTGGGCTTTGCGCAGACCTAACAAGTTGAAGCCCTTCAGGGAGGGCTTGATGAAGAGGTTTTTGGGGAACTTTGTGCGCTGGTTTTTGCCATTCTGCTGCAGAGCCTCAGTAGAGAGAGTCATGGGTAATGTGGGGTAGTCTGGAGACTGGAGCCCGGCAGAAGAACGACTGGAACGGGATGTTTTCCTGCTCTTGCCTGGAAATAGATAAACAAATCAATGTAGCTTTGGCTGTTTTCTATGTCCCCAGTATTAATTTTTTTTGGTACTTAATGTTTCGAAACTTTGAGAGGAGTAGTTTATGGTGAAAAAGAATGTAATGTTTAAATGACACAAATATGATAGATCAATATGGCCAAACATCTTTTACTACATGTTTGAGGCAAGAGATTAAAAATTGCAATGCACAGCAAAATGAGCTGTGCATCCTTGTTGTCTCAATGCTTTTCTGTAAGTTAAATTCTACAGCAAACACATATTTATTACATTTTCTGTGTTTGAGTGACATTGGGGCAAGATAAGTTATTTGGTATGCCTGATCTGCTGATATCAGAGAATAACTCCAAATAAATTTATCTGAATGTATTACTTCATAAGAAGGAACAAAGTGAAGGACTTACCAGCTATCCTTCGGTTTACAGAGGAAAATGGATGAATGAATGAAGAGGAGAAGAGCCATATAGTATGGCTTGCGAGAGAAATAAAATAGTGGCAGGACAGGAATAAGTTAAATAGATGGAATGCCAAGAAATGTTAAAGTATTTTAAAAATATGTACAAATTTTAGCTATGATAACTTGGGTCCAGGTAAGCATTAGTTTTACCAGTTCACATTTCCTTCAGATGCAGTTTGTTAAAGAAAAAAACAAGAGAATAAGGTCTGTGCTCTGTCTATTGATGTATCCCCCCAAACTGAAATACATTGTAAGACAACTGTGTGACCTCTGTTGGTAAATGGACTTATGGATACATGGCACAAGATTATTAATTATTTTAATCTTGTAGGGTGCTATGTCATAAGGAAGAGTTGTTACATATAATAACATCAGTGAAGCATGTAGGTTAAAAGGCGTGTTTTTAAAAACGTTTTAGAAAAGTGCAGAGATACAGCGGTTCACAGTGATTTTCTTGTCTCATTGAAACTGTGACTGTTAAGAGAGAGGTTTTAATTTAAGAACTGAATAGCTCAGATTGACAAGTAATCTGTGGAACCCTGAAAATGCAGGAAAGAAGCTGTCTGTAGCTATCAACAGTTTAGTGAAATGAAAGAAAGAGCAGACTGAAAAAAGGAGTGAAAAAAAAATAAATGAAACAAGCAGCACCAGAGTTCCTTTTATTATTTAAGAGAAGCCGTTTTATTGCACAACTTGAATTTCTACTGTGTGAGACTGCACGCTTTAAGGTTCCACCTGAATGGCAGATATTACACAGAAAGAGGAAAACAATAGCAACACCGAAAACATACCAACAGAGAAAAAAGACAAAGCAGTGATTTATGGGTTATGGAGCTGTTAAATGAATGCTCTGAGTGAAAGAAGGTGACATATGCAGAGAGACAGAGAAGTCTAAAAAAGTACACACAAACAAAACCAAAATAAAAGATATAAGACTTCAATAAACCATTAGGATCAGAACTCTCTTACAATCTAAGCTCTACACCTTCAAAACATTTAGAAACATCATCTTAGGCACGTACTGTATGATTGTGCAATATAGTCATGATAAACACATCTTGAAATGGCAAAATAACTAAATGGCATCCCACAACTTTTACATTTGTGAAAGTTTTATAAGCCTACACAATTACCACTGCAAGAAAACACGAGCGCTTACTGAAACTGCAACTCGTCTGTAAAAAAACAAAAAAACAAAAACTGAATGCCACATTCTGAAAATGCTCAACAGACATACTCTCTGAGCTCACATTCATCTTCCTGGCATCCATCTATGGACCTGGAACCCACAGGTAGACCAGCTGGGAACCCCTGTCCACAGCTGGGCAGTGAGTTTGTTCTCATCAGGACAGTTCTACGCTTTGGGGAAAGTCTCTCCCGCTGCGCTCCCAACCTTGTGGGGTGGACTAGGCTTAGCGGTCTGGAGCTTGGCTCCCTCTCAGTTACAACTGGACTTTGGCACTGATGACAAAGAGCGCCTATAAGGTGAAAAAAGTGGTGAAAGAAAGCGGAGTGAAAGCATAGCAAACATGTGAGGAGGCAAAGTTTCTGAAGCACCCACGCGGGAAGTACAAAGATATGATAGGAATGGCCTGGAGCACATTTCACAGCACAGGGTCAAAGGTGACACAAAGAGGTGAGGTGGAAAAGGTGTTAGAATAACCCAGCATGGCAAGAGAGGGAGAAGAGGATGAGGTCCAAGAAGGAAAAAAGGCTAAGAGTTTCTGATTCTCAGTATGTTCTGGGTGTGTTTGTATGGACTATGCAAAGTGTTCGTTACCATTCTCCAGATTTTCATTGCTCTCGTAGCATCCGGAGTCCCGTGGGGAGTCTCCTACCAGCCCCCGACCCTCAGACAGTAGCTTTTCCTGAGAGCCTGAAAGCCCGCCGCGCTCTGGATCACTGCTGCCTGGTGACACAGGCACAGGAGAACAAAAATGAACATGTCATAGGTTATCTTAAAAAAATAAAAAGTTAGTAAAATTCACAGTTTAAACATTCTATTGTTCTAACAGGTCACATTTTAACCTCTCCTGGTCTTCACACAGACAATTGTTTGGTTGTTTAAACAGCTAGAAATGTATGGCAGTGAGCTAGATGATGTACAGTTAAATCAGTGCAGTGAGTATCAGCTCAAAAAAAGTACAGAAATCAAGTCAAGCAAGATATTGTTAAAACATTTCAGATTGCTAATCTGTGATCTTTCAAGCAACATATCGTGAGCTCAAGATTTTCCGCGCTCGTTTTATGGAGTCTCTTTACTTTTCTCTGCTGTCTGTGGAGAGAAAGGGCCATTTTTCAGTCCATACGGTCAAATAAATATACTCATGGAAACACACTTAAGGCCTGAAGACTGAGCGTTTCTTCACAACTGTGTAAAATGTGTAGGTCACACATACTTTTCAGTCTACTTACTGTCATACTCCTGCAGAAGCTCGACAGCCGTGAGCAGCACGGCTCTGTGCTGAGGATCTCTGATGTTCAGCTCATCTAAATCCTCCTCCTCCAGCAGCTTGAATGTGTCCAGGTCCTCGTAGCCATTGAACAAGAAAGTGGGCATGTGTTCCTGTGGAAACAGAGCGAGCTTAAGAAAAATACATGTGGATAAAAGGCATAAACTATATCATAAAATAGACGTGGTATGGTTAAGGAAGAAAAAACAAAAAAAAACTGATGAACGGACTAGTCATCCCATCATAATTTCCGACCCACAGTGTATAATTTTAAACTGCTGGTGAGCCAAATCTAAACTGCTACTTTGATTTTTAGGTGGCATGTCATCGGTTTAAGCCACAGCTAGCTAAGTTATAGCTGCTGTAAATGTCAAAACACTTTGATATGGCCCAAGCTGTGCCATTTTGACAGGAATATAAAAGCAGGCTGTGGCAACATGCGTGAACTGGATGCATACACAACGACGGGGAACACACAGAATGCATGCTAGCTGTGACCAAAATGGCAGACAGTTGAAGTTTAAACTTAAACCCACCAACTTAATGTGAGAACAAATGGGTGGGTAAGAGAGTCACATCAAAGTGATCTTCAACCACAGAAGAAAGTAGTAGAAAAACCGCCCCTAAGAAACTGTGCTATCTAAAATTACATAAAAAATACATTCATAAGATACACCCTTTGTCTGAATAGAAAACCTTCTGGCACCATCTGTCAAAGTACTCGTATCTGCTTCTACTTTTAGCGTAACCCTCACAGTTTTTTGGACTAGTACATAGACTGTGTTTCACCAACAAGACCGTCAATTACAACAGTGGAGTCCACAGTGGAGAGCTGAGTGTATCTGTGCTGTTCCTGCTGGATGACGAAGGACTAAACAAAGGACCACCATTGAACAAAAACACAGGCAGCTGCCTCCGCTGAAACCCATTCCGAATCCAAAGGTTACTGGCCAAAATTAGCAGGGTTTGCCGGGATTTACACCTAACAGGCAGGCACAGCCTCAAATTTTGGCCTCCCAGTTTAACCAAATGTTTGCATAACATTTTCAAAGGAATGCTGCTGCCTCTCTGGTATATTATATGTCCACTGCTGCTCATTTATTTAGCCTATGAAGATCAGTCTGTAAGAGGATGGAAACTGCCTACGACAGAAACTTGAGAAAGGATGTCAGAAAAAGCCCTCACTGAAATTGACTTAAGTACAGCTGAGGCCTGCCAACTATAAAATGAGGAAACCAAAGGTTTCGTGAATATAGTGTCCATCTCAACTGATGTTTTTGTCCTCTAAAAGTAGAAGATGGAGTGGATTCATAAAAAAGAAAAGAAAAGCGGTGGCGCCTTTTGTCATAAAGGTCATTATGAGTTTTCCTTATCTTGATTTTTATGTATATTTTCATATATTTTTTTAAGTATGGGGCTTTACTATAAAAAAGTAAAAGAAGACATGCTGACTGAAATTTGCAAGCTCATTTTTCTGTGTGTTTAGTTTAATTTACAGATTCCAGGAGTTTGGTGAGCGCTTTGATGCACTTTGATGTGCGTACCAAAAATTCAGCCATCGTTTTCTGGGCCCTAGATCTTTAGTTGTCCAGAGATAAAAACAGACAACCCACAGAAAGCCTCTCTGTTTGAGCAAGGGAGGCCTGCTGACTCCCAGAGCCGTAGAGTGTGATGGCGAGTGCAGACCGAGGAATGGGTTTTGATAATAGAGCCAAGTCTTGAGCTGGGGCGTGGCTGTTATGACGGGGGCGTTAATGTTTGTGTGCCGATGTCAAATCAGACCTCCAGCCTGTAATTGGGTCCACTGTATTTGTCTCTGCTTTTCTCCAGATTTGGTCAAGAATTTGGGTTGCGAATATATTTTTGTTTACCTCAAAAATGTTTTTTCTCTCTCTGGGCGAGGTGTCAGATGGGGCGGGGTGAGGGAGGCTTTTTTAAGTTAGATGAGTTCATTTGTGAGTTGATCTGGCAGGGCATCTCAAAGATGTGTAAATTCAACCCACAATAATGTTTGAAAGCATCTGCAGCATCTGGTTCTTTACCTTGAGGTTGATGCGCTCCAGCAGCTCCTCCACTGACGTGGGCTTAGGGGGTCGACCCTTCCTCCTCCTCCTAACAGGCCTCTTTGGCTTCTCCTCTTCTTCGCTCAGCACATCCACGTATATGAATTTAAAGGTGCCAACTTTGTTATTGAGTAGGCCCATCCATGTTCCCATGGGGGGCTTGCTGATGATGTCAATTACATCTCCTCTCTAGACAGTCACATAGAAAAAATGGAGGGTGTTACTGGACCCTGGCATTTTAAGAAGTTACCAATAGGTTGTAATAAGAAAATAACATCTACAAAGCTGGGGTGCAAGTTAACCAAGAAGAACAGGGGCTCAATAATAGCAAGATCAACTTTAAGAGGCCAGATCTCCTAGTTTTGAAAATAATGTTTTCCCAACATCACTAGGAGGTGTCGCATCCACACATATATGAACCATGGTCTTTGTAGCCAGCTTTGATCATCACTTGAATTGCAGGTATTGCTAAATGTAAAGCATCTAAACCTTCAGTTTGAGGGAGTCTGTGTCATAGGGGCTGGGAGTGAAATCTGTATGGACTCGGGCACGGCCACAGAATGGTCCTCTGTAAGGCGGCTCCTCATCATCTCCATCTTCTGACTTCACGCTCTCTCTGTTGCTGGCTGACGAATCGGTGGTGCTCACCGTCTGACCGCCTGAACAGAAAACACACAGACACAGAGTACCAATAAGAATAATAGCAATATAGTAACTTCCTGTCAAATCATGCAGTTCTTAAAAAAAACAAACGGCAACCAGTAATACGTGACAGATAAACTAAGTTTCTCACTGTCATAAAATGGATGATATAAAAACCTTTAGAAAGAAGGCTTAGAAGCATCATCGTTTTTTAAATCTCTTACTTTCTCTGCTTCTTTATGCCTGTCACTTGTAGACTTGTTGATATGTGGAAACATACTTCTCTGCTTACTGCTGTATTTTTTATGTGTGCATGTGTTTTTGGATCTTCTGTTACTCTTAAGTAGTTACAGCCCAGCAGGACTTAAGCTTTAAGTGATGCCCAACAGCTGTTTGACTGGGCCACAACTCTACACATGTGCTTCATTATTTCAGGAGGGAGTCGGTGAATTAAAAGCCCTTCTATCCTTTCTTCAAAATGTAGAAATCATTAAAAGTTACTGCTTGAAGAAAATGCTGAATTCGAAAGAGTTGTTTTACTCATTGAACTCTGTCCGCTGAGTGAACTGCGCAGGCTTTCCACTGAGCCGCCGGCCTTGAGCTTTGGTTTCTCCAGAGAGTCTGTGTCTGGCAGAGGAGATTGTGGGGAACCAGGGGCTCCATCCGGGCTGGACTAAAACATGGAAATGGAGGTTGAGATGCAGATGAATTACAACGGATCACAAGAGGAAGAAAGGACAAAAGAATGTGGACATATTAAAGGTTGTGAGGGACGAGGAGTGTGGTTAAGAGGTTGATATTTAATGGGGACCGAATGGAAACAAAAACATGGCGGCAGATCACAAGTGAGGGGGATATAAAGGCTGAGAGCATACTTATAATCTTCATTAGCACCCAAGACATGAAGACAAAACTGAGTTATGAGAAGAAAAAAATCTTTACAGAAGACAATAAAAAAGCAGGATTATCTGACCATAGAAATAATTCTTTAAATCTAAATTGTGTCATTATAATAAACCAATAATTTGTTCAGATATTAGCAGATAATAAGATCATCTCATAACAATGCAAGCATGTCTATCCATCTACCACAATTAAAATCATTGTACCACCTCAGCATTTTCTGTGCATGCCCCAGGAACCCACTAGGGGGCACTGTGGTCAAACCAATGTCTGCCACACCAACAGTTTGTGGAGGAACTAGGTTAAGTAAACTGTTCAGATGTACATTCAAGAATAATTAATTTGTCATTTGGGCCTGTCTCGTGCAGCTCTCGTAGAAGATTGTGCTTTGTAATTAACATCTATCTGACAACTTAATTTTACTGCTTAGGTAATGTCTGAGGGCACAAGACAATTTAGCTGTCCAGTGTTTTTGAAAACATGTTGACAAGAAAAAGCTTTTTTTTTTTGCTGCAATCTATTTCTATTCTTGTTTTGGTTTGAAGAATCCAATGCATCCATTTCCTTTCAGCATAGCTATTTTAGCCCACCGACATGGAAATAAATCTGAATTATAACAGCTACACCAAAATCAAAATATCTTGGTTACATTCTTGAGGGCTGTGCATTAGTGGAACATGCTACAAGGCGAGATCAGGCTGTGCAACTGGACAAGCGTTAAAGCCACTGAACACCCAGAAATACTCTTCACTTCCCACCATAAGAGCAAGCCCAGGGGACACTTGCATCACCACATGAGCTAAGCACCCCACCCAAGGAGGCAAGAGGGGAGAGAGAGGTCTGAATGCGAATGTGTTTGAGTGATTTGTGTTTATTCTGTTACTAACACAAACACTCCCACCCCAATTACAGCTTGAGGAGTTAACATGTGGCTTACATTGCGAAACAGTGAAATGTCTGCTTTTCTTTCTTTACAGGTGGCTCGAAGTTTTGAGCATTAAAGGAATATTGCATGAATCTTTTATTCATTAGCTTATGGTTCAACTGTTTTTACTGTTTTGAAAGACAAAAAATATAGACCACAGTGCTAAATGTGATAGACACTTTTCAGAAATAAAGTATTTAAGAGACAGATCAGTGTGTGCATGGCGGTGTGCTCATCTCTCACCTGCTCAGACAGGGAGCTGCTGTATTTCTTCGACATGCGCTTCCTCATGGTTTCCTTCACCGACTTAACTTTCTTGCCCAGTGAGATCCGAGATGTGGTGGGGGATTTGACCACTTCCCGGTATATTGCCTCCTGTTCTTTATTCTGTGATGAGGAGAAGGGAAAATTACAAGGGAACATGATGAAAGTGAATGTGCAAAAGAGAGACAAATGGAAGCAGAGGAGTAAACAGAAGACAAAAGGTGATTCGATGTGATGTGGGTAGGGATGGGGGGGGTCAGCATGTTCCTTAAAGCCTATTGTTTTTGCACGCTGCTAGAACTCACATTCGCCTCCGAGCCAGTGTTGACCACATGGAGAGAACGGTTGGACAGGTCAAAGCCCCCGAAACTGCAAGTTCTCTGCGGAGGGAGCCAAAACAGTCAAATGAGTCCCACTCAGAGGGGTCAAGTGGAAGAACTGCCCCACCTATACCCACTCAAGTATGCTCACAATGACTCATGCTTGGCACGACACAGGCAGCAGTTTGATGGATGCACATGGCGGAATGTTTTATATACGTATTTATACGTGTATGTATGTGAGGGCATGATGTCAGATGGGACTGTGGACAGCCAACAGACATGATGTAACAAAAGTGTTTGATGAAATCCTTTAAACACAACAACATTATGAAATGAGTTGTAGTAGTGGTTGCTTCTCATGTACTTAAAACTTAAATACCTGGAAAAAACTCTGAAACTCAGTAAAAGCTCTCCTCATGTTGTAAAAGTGTATATATTAACGTTTTACAAGCAACCATGTGCGAGTTTGCATTTCAGCCTGATGCAGTTTGTTTTGTGGACAAATGTGAACAACACAAACATGAGTACAGTTTGCAGTCATAAACAAAACCCCTCAGAGTCAACAACACACAGTTCTCACCAGAATCCCTTTCATTAAGAGAACCGTTTCATCTGAGAGGGCAAAACAGGCTCTTTCTCTTGACTTTTAGAGGGAGGCCACCAGTAAATAATGCCAGACACAAAGGAGAACTATGGCATGAGAGGAGCTGACTCTCTGTTTCTGAGCACAGAAAAATGTAGACATAGACATAGACATTCACATAAAAAGATCTTGGGGGTGGAGTTGTGGGACTCAGTGGTATTTCCCGTCTCCTTCACAAGCCAGTACTAAACTATTTCACTGGAAGCTGAAGCAAGGAGAAGAAGAATCTTCAAGTGAATGAGCATGGCACGCTGAGAAAAGGTCTCCTGCACGTCCACAGCTGCAGTCCACAGCACAGCTTCCCAGCTAAAGCACTCTGGAGAACAGGCGTGTTTGAAAAGATATCCGAAAAAAGATGAGATGACGATGTGCGATGGAATGGACATGCACCCAGAAAAAAATGTTGCTCGGAGATAAATACAAGGAACAAAAAATTTAAAAAACTTAAAAATTAAGTCACATTTGCGGTAGCGGCACGGGCCAGAAAAAAGGACAAGAAGCAACAAAAAAAAGTGGATTCGGATTTTTTGTATGAGAGACCTCCAGTGATTTCACTAAAACACAACAGGATTCAGGTACCCTCAAAGCTGCAGGATAGCTCCACTATATCAGCACTCCCTGTTTTTCTACCTGTGAGTCACCTCCGTGTGGAGCACACCAGGCTGTTTACGGGGAACTTAGCAAAGCACTCGCTCTGCAACCGGGCTCTCTTCAGGCAGGTTCAAACTGAAATGCGATTGCTCACGTTTTTAATCACTGTGTAGGTTTTGCTGTCTTCTTCATCTTCGTGAAAATTCTCTCAGCCTTACAACATCAATTTAAAAACTGATAGGCACACACTAGAGCGCTCCCTCACTGAGGGTGACTTAATGAGGCCACTAATTGAACATGCCTTTTTGGGCTATGTGCTGTGCTCCAAGCTCATAAAACATTCCCTACACCCACAGGGACTAATGTGAGTGTGTGAGTGCACATGCTCCTAAGGGGTCTGACATTTATAAAAAGGCACTTATGAAACTTAACCTTCCAAGTGGAGCAATGCATATTCTGTAATAATTTCATATTCAGATGAAATAAAGCAGTTTGAAGTGAAAGGTTTAAAGGCCAGAGAAAAAGTGGTCTTCTAAGGGCAGCTAAGTCAGTTTCATTATGTAAGAATTCTCTTTTCATGTTCATCTATTTATTCATTTCCTAATGAGAAATGTAAGTGAGACATATCTGACCTGTTTTCTCTTTCGTGTAGGTGTTGTGTATATATTGTGCATCTTTTACCTTTAACCTCTGAGCTATTCTGCAACTTTAAAGTACCGAGTCCTGCTCACACGCGGCGGTCGACTAGAAACCCCGAGGTCTAAACTCACAGACTTCTGCTGGATGCGCAAGAGCACACGCTTGGTGCAGCGGTCCACGCTGGCCGCCCACTTCCTTTCCACTTCACGGTCCTCCTCCAATAGACAGCGGCGCTCAGCGCGGCTGAGGGTAACTGGGCGGACCAGCTGGGCCCAGTTGAGGTGACCGTACAGACTCCGTTCTACCACATAGGTGATGTTCAGCTCACTGACCGCTGTTCGGCCTCGCAGCCTGCGAGAGGGGAACACCCAGCCCCCTCCCCCGCTCCCGAAACCTTTCGATTTGGCTACATCGCAGCGCACGGGGGAGGCGGGGGTGACGGACAGGGGGGAGATGGGGGCCTTGGCATTACGGGAGCGCTGGTACAGCAGGTGCTTGGTGGAATACGCGTAGTTGGGGTCAGGTTTCCGGTGTGTCCAGCTGCCATGGTGCCGATTGGCAGGTTGATGCTTGGGGCTGCCTTGTGGCCCGTCATCCAGGGATATCAGAAGGCGGGACTGGGAATGGGGCTTGGGGCGAGGTTTGGTGAGGCCGTAAAAGGCATAGAGGGCCTCGTTGTTACTTACCCCGTGGGAGATGGAGCTCAGGGCCTTCCTCATCTCGCCATCTGTTGTGGAGCGGGACAGCTTCCCCTCATCGTCCAATCCACAGCCATCAAGCTCAGAGAAGGAAGAGCCACTGCCGGCTATGCCGGAGACGGAGCCTGCTGGGGCGGTGGAGCTGGCCGGGGTTCTCCTGGGGGGCCGGATGAGACCGTGGGTACTGGAAGATTTGCTGAAAGTTTTCACCAGCTTGTGTCCGGACCAGGTGTCCAGACTGCTGGAGGACGGGGAGGTTGTTAGGCTGTCTGTGTCCCCATCCAGGGAGAGTTGATCGTGAGTGAGAGAGGGCAGAGAAGCCTCCTGAGGTGAAAATGGCTTCTTTAGAACCCCTGTGTACAAAGCTGTGTTGTCCTCACAGCGGGGAGGTGTCTCCAGGTTAAGAAAATCTAAAAAGCACAAAACAGTCACAGTTTTATGTCTCTGGAGGTAAAAAGACATGAGTTGAGGTCAGGAATCAACAGTTAACAATAAAAAATGTTATCAGAAATTCTTCATTCATGGTCATAGCCATTTACATTCAAACAGTAAAAAGTCCTAAAAATATATTTTTAACAGATAATTCAGAAGTAGCATGAAATAGTGTGCTCATTAAAAAAGAGCCGTACACACTTGTGGATTTAAACAAATGTGGTAAAACTGAAGCTGTGTTTAATTGATAGATCATTTATTTCTCATCACAGACCTTCAGGCGCATGCTTCTTTCCCTCCTCCACCTTGATGAGTTTCTTTCTGACTCGCCGTGTTGAATTGACCAATTTATGAAGCCGTTTGAACTTCACGGAGTCCTCAGATTGCTCATCATCTGACTCTTCACGAGACTGCCGGGAGAGTGAAAAAGATAAGATTGGGATACTAGAAAGGGCATCAACTTTATTTTAAAACAAATGTAGGTTTGAGTAAAAAAAAATATAAAAAGTGGAAAAAGGTCAGCACAATATTTCAGGTAACACAAATGCGTTAAACAAAGAAAGAATGACACTTTGATACTTTGCCATGACACAGAGAGGAGCTTTGTTTAGGATGGCAAAAAAGTTAGTGAGGTGAGATATGGAGGATTGGAGGGATGGTGGCCCACTGCATTGTATGATGTTCATATTCCTAATGCAAACAAAATGAAATGCACTGAAATAATGACATAGTAAAAGATGTGGCACACTGTAATGGCCAATTTGGCATAAAGTCAGATTTTGAACCTCATTCATTCAAGCATCACTTACACACCAACAAGCACATCTTCTCCTCAATTGTGCGGTTCTGCTCCAGCCGTTCTATGTACAATGATCATCTGAATTTAAATGGTTGTTCCATCGTTATCATTGTGGCCCTCAGGCATCTTCAATTGTTTCTGTTTGTCACAGACTTTCAAAATAACCCCAGTCCGGTCACACACTGTCTGTCCAACAGTTGCCACAATGATACTTTCAGAGGAACATTTAAAAGACAAGCACATAGCACACAAAAGATAAACCAGGTCTACTAGGCTGAGCTTTTTGTCTTATTAAATGTAGTATAACCCTGCAGCCACAAAGCCAAACAAACAATACGTACACCTGCAGAACAAACCAGGAGCTTTGATCGAAGGCTATTGAGACACAATACGGGAGAAATTATGCTAGAAACTGTGGCTAATTTGGAACAAACATCTGTCGGTGTGAAAGATAAAGCCCTGTACCACCAAAGAAACATGCTGACATTTAATTTCCTGCAGATATGACTGCAACACAAAACTTTACCAATCATTGCCAAGTTAAAATAGAATCAAACATGTCTGTGAATAAGTTTGATACCAGTTGTTTCAATTAAACTGGACTCTTTTCTACCCTTTCAGACATGCTAGCCTCTTCGGTCACTTCAGTCCAGCAGAGCATAGGAAAGGTATTACCATTCATTTGGCCTCTGGAACCAGCAGAAATAGGCTCTGAAAACCCAGAACTCCATTGAGCCTTCAGCCCCGACAATTTCTCAAGTGAACCGCACAATCCCGACTGCAGTGGTGACTCCTTCCAACTCCTATTCACTCCAGATGAGACTTCAGAGTATTCATTTCAGAACATATATTACGTTACTCTGTGGAACTGATAAAATAGTTAGTTTGCTGAAAAGTTTGGGTTGGAATCCAATCTTGTATCTGGGTTGGAAGAATTTGCTACGTCGATGAAATAGCTAACGATGTGGAGCATAACTGCTTCCAGGAATTTGAACAACGTGTGACCAAAACACAAAGAAGTGGAGACTGAAAAGGACTGACAATGATATAAAACTTCAAGCTCAGTCCCATGGAGCACCATCCATGCAAATGAACAAATAAGCTGGGAAAAGAGACACCCACAGAAAGAGAGTCTAACATGTGAGAACATAAATCGAGGAGGCCTGAAAGGCTGCAAATGAAAACAAGGTCAAAGGAAAAATTCCATTGCCTCAATAACTTTAAGGATAGTTCACTGAACTTTAGAGATTCAAACATGGGCAGGGACTGCACACCAACATCTTTCAATGAAAAAAGGAGAATATGCACAGTTCTAATGAATCAAAACTTACCAACTCACTGCGGAAAGTAGACTATCACTTCCTTTATCCCACAAATAAGAAAGAAGAGAAGAAAATCCATGGTCCCATGATCACATCCTCACACGCATTTCATCCAAAATAATATCTGTGTGCCCGTGCGCATGCTGGCACATGCAGCCTGCTGGCGAATTCAGCTCAGTGGAATGAGGGACTGTTTGGAAGTGCCGTGCTGCATAGCTTGCAGAGAAAAGGCGTGTTGTGCATGGAGAACAATCCAGCATTTGAGCCCCTCTGACCCTGCCTTGGCCCCCAAATCACTAATGGCCAACCCTGGAATGTGGGCTCTGATCGCAATGGTTCGAGAGACAAGAGAAAGGAAGCATTAAAAAAAAGCCTCACGGCAGTGTTGAATACTGCAAATACCTCAGTTACAAGAATGCACTGTATGCTGTTGCTTCTTTATATAAAAAATGAAAAAAAAGATTTTTTTTAAGGACCCAATAGCATTCACAGAGGAGAAGGGCCAGTATGTGGAACCACAGAAGAGAGGAAATATTTCCTGAGAAGGCCAATTTTGGAACTAGGGGCTAGAAGTTCCAAACCCCATTCCTGACCTCGGGGATAAGTGTAATGCCTTCATCTCCACTCTCCCTGGCTTCGTTGTTTCCTGTCTGCCTCTGGCACTTGCCTCTAGAATCAAACTGTGTATTCCTTTCTACAAGTCTTCCTTTACTGTAAATCTTCAATATTCTGACATGTTTTCAAATCAATCAATCTTTCTCCGGCAGGAATTGAGCAACTGCAGCAACTGTGTGACACAAACATGAACAGACTAATGAATGTGATCAACATACTCCTGCATCATTCAAACACCGACATCAAAGAGCCAGATAGAACATCAAATTTGGGCTAAGGTTGTGCATGCCAGAGCTGACCTACTTTTCATTTGGAAGGAAATCATCAATCATTACCCAGAAGAATATTTTTGTGAGGATCCTTGACGGTGTGAGAAAACTGTTTCACATGAGTCCTCATTAAAAGACTCTCAGATTCGGTTAGAGTGAGATAAGGCCATGCAGATCTGAGGTCCTTATGGGTAAAGGCCATGTATTACTTAAGCTGAAAATTATGTATGTGTAGAAGCCAAGTGTACAAGTCACTGAAGAATCCGTCTCCACTTTAATGAAATATCATTATGAGATTTCCTCAACAGCAGATAGGATCTAAGTCTCAAACTTGTGAGGTTAAGTGTCCATTTAAAAAACTTAAATGAGAGTTTTTCGTTTAAACAAATACAAGACAATTTAGATAGGAATTTGAAACAAGATACAAAATAGCAACAGCTCACATGGGCTGGGATTTATTTTCAGTTCGCTTGGAATTTTTCATGTTTGGATAAATTTACTTCCTGTAAAAAAAAAAAAAAAGTGGGTCAGTGTATGAATGCGTCTGCCTGCCTGCATGTAAATCCCACATGATTCCTCACAACTGAAAACTAATGAAAATACACCACTGTTAACTTCAGAATCTACATGAACTCTGATCAGCAGACTATATACACACAAAGAAACATTCTCTAGCTCTCTCTCTCTCACACACACATACACACACGACACTAACAGATTGTCATGAAACACCAAACCGTGGCCAACAGCCTCCGCTCCAGAGCTCATATCTTCCATTTTGGAACTAACTTTACAACACGAAAGTGTCCTCAAAGACCCCATCACTCTGTATGCTAACCAAGGGAGGATTTGAATCCCTCTCTCAAAGGATCACAGCTGACAAAAACAAAAGCAAACAGATCTGCTGCAAAAAAATAGAGACGAATTAAGTCCGCCTCTCAACTGGGCTTTCAACACGTTACAGCTCTGACTCATAAACAGAGCATATTTACATAAGGCAATATCCCTGAAAATTGAGCAGACAGTTATGACTTTGTTGGGAAAATACCAAATGATATGCCCACGTCCGGACTGAAAATATCAATAAAATATGTATGAGCACTTGTTACAAATTCCATAGATCTAATTTTTGCGACACGGTAAATCCGGGAAAACCATAGAAATGAATAACGTCTGATCAAAGGCACTACAGATACCATTAGGCTGCACATGACATGGTGGAGAGAATATTTGTGAAGAGGTGGACACATTGTTGCCTAGCCCACACATGAAGAACAGAAAGACAGAGACAGATAAAAGGAGCAAAGGTCAATAGAAGCATTGACTGAGAATGTATAAGGGAACGACAAAGGTTTGAATATAGAAATACATCCGGGAAAAGTAATTTAAGTGACATTGGATGAACTGACAAAACTATTGACAAAATAAACATTGTTCTCTGTCACAATCTTCTCGCCTGAAAAGTTAAGCTGAAAAGAGACTTTTATTAGAGGTAGAATAGGACTTGGGGGTGTGAGAGTATCGGGGAGGGATGTACTTACGTTGCAGTTTGAGGACTGGTTTAAATTGGCTGTAGATCCGTCAGTCCACTCTGCAGTGTCAGTACTGCTGGACTGTCTGTTGCGCTCATACTCCTTCAGCTATATGGAGAAGAAGAGTTTAGAGAGGCAGTGGAACAGGATGGGGCCACCAGTTCTCATCCAGCATCTTATGTTTCTCTGTATATTAACACACCACGGAGAAAAATGTGTTCATGAACAGCAGCAGCCATAAGATGTTATGCAGTTTGGGTTTCATGGGTCATATGGCAAGAAACCAACCAGCCACTGGAGACCAATGAAGTAACAGAAAAGGTTTCCGGATTTATAAAAAAAAAGGATTCTAATTTATTACTTTAAATTCTTCTTTATTACTTCAAATTCATTCTTAATCAAGGTCCAAAGAGGACTATGACATTTTTCGGGAAAAAAAAGGTTAGACAGTACTAACACATCTATGAGTGGTTTATCATGTGATCCCCAGCTTTGTGCATCAACTGCATACATGCTCGTAAGCACGGGTCCACAAGGAATATCACCGTTTTTCTTTTTTTTAAAGTGGATTGGCCATTTGTGGTTTTGATGAGTAGAAATAAACAGAAATCTGTTCAAAACTGACTTTAGTGATGTGAACTTTACCTTCTCTGTTACAAAATTAAATGTTCTACTAACAGACATTTCTTAAGAATCCGTTGTCTTGTTATGGTCACAACGTACTTATTGTTACTTTTTGTGAGATGTGGTGCGATTCCTTAATGGACATTTTTCTAAACAGACAATTATCTTCATTCACAAATAAAATAGGTTGTTGACATTCCTGGATAAATTTGTGATACCACTAGAAAACAAGATAAAAAGACAGGGGACACACAAACAGAATCAGAACAATCCAGAACCAACATTCAAAAGGGCTGATTGGATGGATTGATTGACTTTTTTAAATCTAAAAAGAATCATGTAAAGAAAGATATTTAATATTTCAAATCCAGTTCTCAAATGCTGCTTGCCAGCCATGCTACCCAGGACAAAGTCATTGTACATTGTGACTGACTGGAAGAGATAGAAAATAAGAAAGAGGACAGAAGTATAAAAAAACCAGGAAGAAACAACAACAAAGAAGCAATCAAGAAATTGATTTCAAATAGAATAAAAAAAAGTGTAGGAAAATGTATAGGAAAGCCAAAATATGTTATCCACCATGTCCAACTAGAGAAAAACCACAATGCACCACAAGGACCCCCCAACAGGTGGGGCTATTGAACTACAGACCATCAACCTCCTAATTATGAGCTGAACAACACACCCACACACACTCCAAAGAGCTCAAACACTAAAATTCCCCAACTCCTAGGCCTCTGGACATGCCAGTTTATTCTTGCTTGTGTGTGTGTGTGTGTGTGTGTGTGTAAATAGGACAATGCAGTTTTAAATTATAGGGCCTCTCAGGGGTTAGTAAGAGTGAGTCTTTTTAGTATACCAAAGGTACTGCAGAGAGATGGGAGTTGGGATGTTGGAGGGGAGAATCTTAATCCAGGAAAAGGCGTAGGGTAGAGGATTAAAGGGATGTTACAGATCAGTTCATGATGCTGAAATGAGGGAGGGGGCAGAGAAGAGGGGAAGACGGTGAAGGAGATGAGAAAGGACATTCCTACCCGAGCCAGAGCTTCTTCCACAGTGATCATCTTCTCTTTCACCATCATCATAAGCTGGATCCGTTCTTCATCGCTCATGGTGATCTCACTGGCCACATAGCCAATATCCTCTCCTGATGGCAATGAACACCAAAGCAAAAAAAAGTCAAGCGGGAAGAGACAAAAGACGGAAGGGGAAAATAAAGAGCTACGCAAACCTTTCGATGACTGCCGAGCAACGGGTTTGTGCGGAGATTTACGGAAGTTCTGCCAAAAAGACTTGTTTTTCTTCTTACTGTCCCACTTTCCTAAAGAGATCAAATTTCGTCAGTTACAGGCAAAGACTTGACCTGATACAAACCATTACTTGACCAAGATTGTGTGTGTGCTTGAAAACACCAGTTTACCTCCAGATCCATCTTCAGAGTTGGACTTGTGGAGGGGATTTCTGAAGAAACGGGGTGAAAGAGTCGACTGTTTACACACAGATTGAAAACATCAACATACAAAAATTCATCAAATCTTTTCAAGCACAAATGTTTAATGGAACTTCTTTCTTTTAGAAATGAGACTGCAATTCTGCCAATTCACCACTTGGGATCAGTGATGGCACTTCAAAGATCGTGAACCAGGCTCCTGAGGTTTGAGAGGGAGAGGGTGGTGAGGATACAAAAACAAACAGGAGAGACAAAGTCTTTAAGAAGCTATGAAGAACATAGTAGGCTCAATCAAATGAAGCGAAGAACGGAGCACTTTGGAATTGCTTGGCGAGCCGAGTAAAGTGAGAAAGCATAGAATCGAGAAAGACAAGGAGACGGGAGTTGGAGGCAAAGGGTTGAAACCACAGGGCAGACTCAGCCCATTTGTGTTTCCACTTCCCTCCACAGAATAGACAGTCACGAGGAAAAGACGGGGTGGAGTGGGACTGAAGGGAGAGAGGAGAAAAACCGAGGGCAAAATATGACAGAGATGGAAAATATCTGAGTGAGACAAAAAATCCCTGACGTGTGGAAACCAGAACTAACATGGAGAAGATAACAATTTAAAAGCTGCTTGTAAAACATGAACTGCTTTCAGCTTCCAATCAAAAAGTCATGTATGAGCAGCTCCAACCTATTTTCTAGCTAATTCAGCAGCATGTTAGATCTTGGCCGACTCTCCTGTGGTCTGACAAAGAAGAGAAACCACATCAAGCTATCTATTTCTGTCCGCTTGGTAGAAAAAACAATGAGCTTCAAAGGCTGGTGTTCAATGTAACTGCTGAAAACTTGGCCATAAGTTGGCTTCGTGACATGTTAGCAGCGGCTTTTCTCTTTTTTGGTTTAAAGAAATAACCCAGGAAGTAAATAAAAACAGAGAAAAGGCATTCACTCGATTTATTTACAAAGATGACAACTGTCTTCTCTTTTATGCACACAATCATCCAGCCGAACACCTGCCATGGACATGTGGGCTGCCACGGGAGCAATATGAAAGCGTGCGACAGGACCCAAATAAAAATGAACAGTTCATTTTCCCCTCCAGTGGCCACATGCCTTTGTGTACACGTGCATGGATGAACATATGTTTGTTCAAACATGGCAGCCCGCTCTTGGTGCATTGGAAAAGCTTCGCCTCGGCTTACGACCCAGCTACCATGGCAACATAATGAGATGCTAATTGAATGGAGGCCCGTACGGTTTACCCCTAACCCTCACTCCCCTCTCAGATTGGCCAGAGCTAATGCTAAAAGAACTCACTCAATGGAAGTTTTTCTGTGGCAGCTCGGCCCCCAACACATGCTCTATAAATTAACCCCCCGTGCTGCGCACTAACACATGTACCCGCGCACATCTGCACACCCACACTCTTTAAAAGTGAGTGAATGTCTTCCAAAGAGTGTGTCAGCGAAGGCATTGTGGTGCTTGGCAACTTAATTGGTTTAACCTTAAATCTTTGTCATGCCTTTCTGTTTCAGTTTTGCTCTTTGCTTTCGGTATCAGGTCTTTAAGCTTATTCCTATCTGAAGAGGCAAGCTTAGGCATTACATAAAATACATCTCTACTGTGCAGGACATGTTAATATTATTTCTCATGATCCTTCAGTATGGTGGAAAAGATTGTGCCACAGGTGCTATGGCTTTTAGAAGTTTTTTTAATAAAAAATTTGATTTGAAAGTTGACTTATTACAAATGGTTTCTCACAATATTTTACTTGCATAAGGTTTTAATAAGTTTTTTGTAGTTAGTTTTTTTATAGAAAATGTGCAAACATTCCTCAAGTACAGCAGATGGTCAATTATTTTTTCTTTTTTATTGCACTCTGAAAGAATTATAGTGCATCTGTGTATCTCTGTACGGTGACTGCATTTTTGTGTGCATAAAAGGCAAGCCACCTGGAACAAATGGGTCCCTGGTGTTCTTGTAGAAACAATGAAAGGTGACAGTGTGACGGTGGCAGTGTATAACAGGAAGAACATGGGGACGACCTCTTCAGGGGCCATTGCTTTCAAGGGTCACATAGAAGCGAAAGGGCATGGGCTTGCGTTGCAAAGGGGAAAGAAAATCATATAAATAAAACAGACGAATGGAAAAGGCAACGTTTCGACGGTGCATGTATTTCTCTGCCGTGCATCCACTTTGTTTATGCATAATAGTTCCATGAGGGTTGCGGCCCACAGCCACAAGGGCTAAATATGCTGGCAAGGTACTTAAGGTTTCCAAGGTGGTACTGTTGTTTTGATCAGATTCTTCACATGGCACAAATCTGCATGATTATCCTGTAAACTGGGCCTTCTGTGGCAATGCCTCAAAAAGCCCCGCTGCTTTATACAGTCTTTTGAAGGCAATAATCTACCATTTGTATCTCTCCACTGTGCAAACATATGCTTTCATCAAGATCCATTTACTCCTTCTCTTAAAAGTGACTGATAAGCCAGCTGCCTCCTCTCTGTAACAATACCAACCAATCAATCGCATTCCAAAACAGGAAGTCCCCAACTTGAACCCCCTTAACCTTCTGAGAGCACTCTGTCATCGCCAGTCAAAATAGGAGCTGTGCCCACTTCTTGCCTGCGATGCAACATTTAGACAGAGACGAAGCGGTGGCACTGGCAGGATGAAGCCCTGCTAATGTCCTATTGTGCAGCACAGGGAGGTGATGATTGGATGCAAGCATGCTGGATTGTGGGGCTCTGAGAAATGCGTCTTAGGAATGGACCGGCCTCTATCAGTCTGCCTGTCATTCTGCCTTCAATTCCAGTCAAAACACTGGAAAGTTTAATCAGTTTTCAGGAGAAGAGAATTAAAATTTGGCTATCCATATGATTTATGTTAAACTGAGTCTGGATTTTTGTTGGAAGACAACCGTAAACATGCCAGAAATAAATACAAAGCAACTTCATAAGAAACTACATGGAGACAATACTTTTGGCCGGCCACAGAGCAGCTGTTTAAGATGGAGAGGATCTGACAGTATCCATGCAAAGCGTGAAAAACAGAAAGAAACCAGTCTGGCAGGAAGAAAAGACACAACATTGTGCTGCTGGTCTCTCTTTTTAGGCCTCTCTTGAACAGCAGAAAGACGTCACTTGAAATTTGGCATCTGGTTCTCATCATCCTCAGCATTTGCCTGTGCAACATATACAGCCATGGGAAAAGAGATCACGTCTGTGGTATGCACTTCCTCTGCCACATGTGGTCATCACATGGACACGATAATTCCACCGGAGGGTCGCAAATGGGATAATCAAGATCAAATACAAAAGACAAAATAAATATACTCTTTTTTTAACCTTGATGGTGCAAAAAGTGGCTCTATTGAGATTTATGTCAGTTAACTCGAGGAAAGAGTCTTCCCTAAACACAGTCAGCAGGCCAATAAAGGGGCCAGAATGTGTGGCACCAACACAAATGTAACTTTTTTAAAGCTAAAACAGCTGCTCTGCTGACCAGCGCGATGATCTGCTATTAAAGCATAGAACATTTCAGGTCAGGGATCTCAAACAGGGCTATTAAGTAGAAATTTAATACCCCCAAAAATACAGTGATGTGCAAAAAATGAAAAGCCAAGTTTCTGTGGTACAGGAACCAGTGGAGAGGAACCCCACCCAAGCACTGTTCCATCCTGCTCTTTCGTTCATGTTACTTTGCTGTAATCTTTTGACCATCACCCTCTGTGTCTCCCCCTCTACCCAACAGGACACAAAGCCAGGAAGGAAATACAGAGGGCCAAAGAGCAGGGAATGGCTGCTGAACGGAGCAGGTCAGCCCGAGGAAGCAGTTGTCTGTTTCCTTTAACCGCAGGAGGGATGAGGCCTAGAGGACCAGTTACGTCACATTGGGGATGTCTATGAATGTATCAGGTACAATTTTGTGCCCTGTTAATTTTTTTCTCATTTCGATAAGCACATCACACCCCTCTCTTTTGTTTACAGTACAAGCACATTTTTCACTCTCAATCTACTCACCAGGGGCAAGTCCAGTCACCTTTTGCTCAGGCTGTCACCGAATGTACTTATCAGGCATATAAAATTAATCTTTTTACTTGTTTCGATCTTCAGTGATGGGCCCACACAACATCCCATTTATTATTTTGGGTAGGAGCGTGCATGGGTCGATGTTATCCAAAAATGGCGTGCAACTGCATGTTGCCAAAACATGCTACAGAGCAGATTGTGGACACACATTACAATGATGAGAGTTGGAGGAATAAAAACATACTTTCTGTCTGTTTCCGGCGTGGACACCTCACTGCTGAAGCCCAAAGATTCCTGCCAACAAACAAATGCACACATGTCAGACTGGCCCTTAGCCGGGGTAATGTGTACGGATTACTCTTTAAGCAGATACTGTTTTCATCATGTTTCAACTGATTTGTGCACATAAGCGTGTATTTGCTCACCTGGATCTCATTTCGGAGCTGCAGAGAGGTACTGCTTGGATCCTGTTTCTCCTGAAAAAGGTAATAGAGAGAAGAATGAAGTTAAAATGTTGCTTGTTAATGACTGAGGAACAATATCAAGACTATACAGGTAAAACAAGACCCTGACGTGGAAATGACATTCCGCTGTGCGTTTTAGACACACCTGTGGTGAAAACAAACACAAGCACGTGTGCATCTGAACAATCCATCAAACAGGCCAGGACTTGCTTGAGGTCCCTGAACTTGTGATACTTGTTTTAAATGTTCCTGAAATCTGATGCACACAGTGAAGAGACACAGACAAGTCTTAGTTTTCCTTGCAGCGCTAAACAGAAAATGCACATCCATAACTGGGTGATTCCTTTGACATTGGTGCGCTGTGCTCTCTACCAACGAAAATAGGCCAACATTTGTCTATCATTAGAATACAGCATGACATTTTTTTCTGAGCAAAATGGCCACAAACATGGTAAAACAGCATGGAAGGAAAACAAATAGCCAAACTCGGCTGAGATTTGGCCTTGACCACAATAATAAACAAGCCTTATAACTACATAAAAACTATATATTTGGACAGTTTTTTAAAATCTCTCCTCATGTAGTGCTTCTCGCCTTCTCTAGCTTAATATGTCTCAGGGTTGCTTTCACCGTTTGGATGGTGCTCATGCATGTGTTCGAAGCAGGTGTGCTCATCATAACATTCAAAATAAGCCTCAGGTCAAATCATTCTGCTGTCAAAAAATAAAGGCAACGCGATCTTTCTAGATCTCCAACTTTAACCATCAGCATGCAATTATTTGAAGTAAATGAACAGCTTGTTGACTGCATAGTTTCTTTGGATATGACCTGACCCACTGACTGTGCTCTCTGCTGTGTCTTTAAGTTGAACCAGCACAGACAAAGTTATCAATCTGCCGATGGTAAGTGTACTAACCTTCAAGTATTAGACCAGGGTTCATAAGTTTACTGTCGACAAATATGAAATATGATTTGTCAATGTGCTACCACTAGGTAAGTACACTGTATGTCTGAACAATGCAGAATGTGAGCATGGAAATGGTGGATTGGAAAATCTTGGTCAAAATATTAGCATTAAATGTACAACGTTTTTAAGGATGCAGTACTCCAGATGTTCAATAAGAAATCATGTTTACATATTGTGCTAAAATGGCAGAACTTCTAAAAATATTTCCTGCCAAGTTTTAGAGAACCAGAAAAGCATATAAAATAAAATTTGATAAAATATTTGGTTTTCATATATTTTTGACAATGCCTTTCACTGCGTTTAGGAAACGTGCCTCTACTCTGTTGTAATTTAAGATTTTACCAGAGAGCAAAGATTCACAGGAAGCAATACATAATAGTTACATCGTGTTTCTCCTTTATATTTCTTTACTTCAGCTAAATGTGTTGATCTTAATAGAATAGTTTGAAAGATGGGAAAATCTCAAATGTCCCTATGGGTCGCTTAGGATTTCAAACTTTATACAACATGCCCAGATACCCTGGAAGGTAGACTAATGAAAGAGAAATTGTGAAAAGGTTTCTCCTAAAGACTTTGTGGTCAGAGAAAATTGTGAATGCATCGAACCTAAAATAGTTTAAACTCTTCTTAATTGAAAAAAAAAACCCATTTGGTTGACAAAGCACCTGGCAGAAGTTGCTTTGGTTATGTCAACAAAAGCAAGTTTAAGGCAGCAAGGTGCCTGTGCTTTCCCATTTAACTAAGATTTGTCCTGCTGCCACTAAGGCAAATGGAATCTAGAAATCCTCAAACATGGAGCAGGAAAAGGAAATTGACTTCATTTTCTCTATCTCAACTGCCAGATATTAAATTGTATGAGAAGCTGAATGTTCAGGACTTCCTACGTTTTGTGTGTCATACTTCCTAATCAGTGTGACCTTTAGTTGGACATTTTTTGTCATTCTGTTCTGGGTAGAGGAGTAAAATACATCTACACTGTCACCCTCTAAGCACGAGTAAGTGTATTAGTCAGAACTTGTATAACCTTCTTTAAGACCTTTTTAACAAGTTGTAGGCCACGAGTCAAATGAGCAGCAGCCCTGTGATGCTGATGTGGCTAAAAGCCTCAGAATTAGAGTCAAACCTACATTTACCATCACTGTAATCAACTGAGGACACTGTTAAGATGTTTGCAAGACACCATGGCTGAGTTTTACTTCAGAAAAAACAAGACCCACAAGTCCCTCATACACTTGTCTGTTACTCTGATAAAGCATGTATCTGGAAAATTTTCACGAGATAAATCATCTTGTTTTGCAGGAGCCTTTTAACTGCTTGTCCATCCTGGGGAATTTGGCGATTCCCATAAGTCAGACATCAGGTATCTGTCAAAGGTAGAAAGATTTCTTCTCCAGACTGGAAGGAAAATATAGGAAAGACTGTTTGTCTTTCTCTTAGAGGCACGGATTATGCGAGACAAAAACACCACATCCATCCCTTAAACAAGCACAGCTTTGGCAGACTAGTTTAAACAACAGCATTGTGCAGAATACTGTGTGCTCAGGAAAACCCACATTCAGAGGGAGAGCCACTAACACGGCGTGCGCTCAAATGCAGATGCACAGCCACAAATACTTTCACAAAGGTAGTGGTGGACTGGTTTTGCTATCAGATCCTCTGTGACGGCTTCTCTGGTTTGCAACAACAGGGGAGAAATGCAGGTCTCACTGGTGGGTATGTGCAGGGACCATGCTAACTGAGCATAAAACCTTTGAAAACATATGTTCAACTTGCTGCTACACATACAGACAGAGACAGACACGGATCCTGTCTGCCACCACAGACATAAACTTAGAAACTCCCACACAGATGCACACATTTCGCCTCCACTTTCACAGGCAGGGCTCCGAAAAAGACACAAAGCAGCTCTCTGTTCCTCCTCCTCATCCAGAGCTTTCTTGTTTTCCCTGTTTGTGCACACCATCTCTGCGGGAAAGAAACCAAGGAGATAGGAAAGATGAGAGAGGAATCAATGCAAAACAAACTAATCCTACATCTTGTCCTGGTTCATTTCACATTAAGAGACATTTGTAACGTTGTAGCGATCAAAATTTGGTAAAAGCTTCCGAAGTGGAGACATTTGCTTCGCCAGAGGACAAACATGAATCTAGGGTGAATAACTTGCCAGTGCAACTGGCACAGTTTCTGAAAGAGAATATCAGATCAATACATTTGGAAGGGGTTTCTGTGTGAGTGTAAAGCTTAGATCTCACAACACACTCCCAGAGGGGGCATGTTATCCTTTACATGAACTTAAACGCATCATCCTGTGATACTGCCCTACTTACTCCAAACGGGTTCGTGTGTGTGTGAATGTGCACACGCTTTCCCCCCGGGATGCCTGGAGGTTTTTTTTTTTGCTCACTTTTCTCTGTATGTGTGCGTTTGTGTGTGTGTGTCCATGTGCGTGTTCATGCCAGTTTGATGCAAATGCATAATTTCTCTGATTGCTTGGTCGTGACAGAATTGAATTAAAATAAAAAAAGGGAGCAAAGGGAGTGCTCTGACTAACGAGAATCACGATGTCAGCAGAAAGGGGACTTAGCATCCCACCCCCACACACACCAACACACCACTGAAAAACAGTGATCGCAATTCCACACGCAGCATTGCTTTTCATTATTAGCCCACAAACCGTCGCTAAGCTCAGCTTTGCTGCTGCGGGTTCCTGGTAACAAAAGGACATGGATAGAAAAAACAGATGAAAGTTTATTCCAGTTTAAAGTTCTTCCTCCCACAGTGAAGTTATTGCCAACGTGCAGGCGGATATGCGGATATGCGGCAAAAGCAGCGAGGTGTTTCAGAAGAGCTCCAGCTGGCATGGCTGCATGAATCTGGGTGGGCAAGGGGATTTTCCAAAGTAAGACAGCTGGATGTAAAAGAATGGGCACTAAGTTCAGGTTGTAGACCGAGAGGCCGTTAGTGGTGGAACCAGTGTGGCACAGAGCAAGCCTGCAGAACCGGCTGAATGAAAAGAGCTGCTCACACATTTAACTCACTAATGATTTAACACACAGGAATGCATTTCTGCCAACATTTTTTCAAAATCTTGTAGACAGTCTGTCATGCCGGCTCAGAGCTGTTGCATGTCTTAAAGCAAACCGTCCGCAAATTAAAACAAAAGGTTTTCTCTGAAAAGAGTGTGGAAGCTGGCATGTAAACCATCCCTAAGCCGCTAGGATCATTGTGTTTTGGAGATTTGAGCATTAATACCAGAGTTATTGCAAATTCCAATGACAGAGTCACGAGCCCGGCACAGACAAATAAATCAAAAATGAAATTACAAATACACCACATGCTTTCCACAAGGGTTATGCCAACAGAGGTTCATCGCCAGCGTGGCTTGAAAGTAATCTTACAGCAACAAAGACAGCCGTCTGAGCAGGTTGACTTTCCTTGTTTCTTGGCAAAAAGCAGACAGTGAAGAGGGCAAATAAGCAGCGAGGCTCACAGCAGAGGCGTTCTTCAACACTGTAGTTTTAACCCAGATGGACTGACCCACTTGGACATGAGGACATTAAACACACTGTTCCTCACCTCATGGCAAAACAAAACACAGGCCTGTACTTGAGTCTTGACCCCCAACTGTCGAGTTACTCAGCTAGAAAACAATTAGAGAGCATTCCTGAGGGCTGCAGATTGCTCTGACACATGCTGAGGGCTATCTGTGCTAAAAGCGTTTCAATTATAAAGTCAACTGTGACACCAACAACTGAAGGACTTTGGCCCGAGACATCGAAACAATTACTGTTCAAAGGCTTCTTTTACCCCCTCAACTATAGAATTATCCTCGCAGACACTGTTGCAATATATCTAATCATACTGCTTGTAGTGATGTTTTAAAAGTTCGACCCAACAACCACATATTCCGCAATTGACTAACTTGATTTACAATCCGGGCTTTTCTGTGTTCGGGGAGGGGATGTTGTTTTTTCTGCCGTTTCAATGTCCTTGTCTTTTCACCTCAGCGGCCACTCACTGCAGGCCTAAAGGATCCCTCATTGGGCCTGCGCGTCATGTTTTGGCACGTTTTCAGTCTCGGCAGAAGCACTAGTTGTGCTGACAATGGACAGAGTGACACAGAAATTGTATACAGAGGTGGTTTGAATAGCTGCTGAACTATCTCGACCCCCAGCTGTCAGGACTGTTCAGACACCTGACTGCAGAAAAGATAGCCAAAATAACAGGCTAAACATCGTTTGTACCCGAAATGTTTCAAGGCTGGTTTTGACTTTAAATCATTTCAAGTGTAATTTACCTTTATTTAGAGACTAAATAATCATCAGCTTTAAATTATATATGTACTCATAGAAAAAGTTTCAATGTAATATGTTTGGAATCACAGACGAAAGCTTGAATGAGAAATTATTTTTTCTTTGACGTGAGCTGTTGCTGACCTTGCTGATGTTTTTACTGACACTGCTCAACAATAAGCCTGATGTACCATCAACTCAGCATGCCACCCAAAAACCCGTCCATAAGATGCGGTGGGAAACTGTGCACAGTAACTCTAATCCTTTCAGGGGGGGATGTTTATCCAACCACTTGTGTCCCAGCAGCTCATAAAACTAACATGGACATGCATAGATACAACTTAGCAGAGAGCGAGCAGGAAGTAGGAGCATCGATAGCCATCTCAGAGAGAGCCTCCATCATCAGCTCTGAATGGAAACACTCCCATGTTTTACCACAACAGACACAGCTATTAATGTGCTAACATGTTGCTGTCAGGGGCTGCTAGATGTGCTGTGCACATGAACAAGAGCACAAATGTATTTCTAAAGAAAAGGGAATAAAGACGCATTAAGAAAAACCAAGAGATAAAAAAGGAGGTCAAATGGGACACTTTTGCAGAACAGAAACCAAACGTTTTTATTTATTGATGCGAAACTGGTCTCGGAAAAAATTGCAGAAAGAGTGACTTTCCAGTGGAAATTGTCAGGGAAATGAGCCCCGTATCATTTTTATCTTGATCTCTGACCTCTCTCGTGGTTTAAAGATGAGGACAAGGGGAGGCTGAAACTGAGGTGACTGTTGCCTCTAAAGCTGCAGTTACACTGACCAGAGACAGCCAGGCCCCAAAAGGTTAGAATGAGAAAGATAGGAACAGATTTAAGTTATCAATCAAAAAAGGAAAAAACTAAAGAAGAACAGAACTGACCTATAAATCTGGAGCACAGATGAGAAGAAAGACAAAGGTTGAAGAGAGTGAGTAGAGCTTAAAGATCCTTTGAGGCCTGCTTTTAAATGCCATGACCCTTAAGTCCACTGCAAGCTAAATGTCTCACTCCTAATGTGACTCTTGGACATTGTAACCTTCTACTAAGGGGGGAGACAACTTTTTCAAGTTGGCGTCTGCCCGCTGCCCCTTGGACACACATCAAAAGATATAAAACCGTCTTTCACTTCTCAGTTTCTGACTGGGTGTCAGTTCCACTGTCTTCGCTTTAACCCAGTTCATCTTCTTCTATTGTGTTCTGTCTCTTCATGTCCTGTGTATTACTTTCACAAAGCCTCTTAAGAATATTGCCAAACAATGAAGACGTTGTCTTCATCTATTGTAATCTTGAAAACCAGGCAGTGGAAAAAATGTTGTTGTAGACTTGAACATTTCCCAAAACTAATTTTAAAGAAGTCCTGATTTGAAATAAAAGCCAAAGTTCAATCCATATCGTGTGGGTTGATCCAACACATCTGAGAGCTCTGAGTAAGGTGTTGTCTGACCTATATTCCTTTCGTCATGCATTTTTCTCCTCTTCTCCTATATTTCGTTGCCAAACTTTTCAGAGTGGCAGGACAGCTGCAGGCTATCGCATTTTCTACTCCTCCTCATTCCCCTCATCCTCTTCTCTTCTTCTATATACATCCTCATCCTCCTCCTGCTCTGGGCTTCAGGCTGAGGTCTCAGTCAACTCTTTTCCGCTCTTCTGCGGAGGAAGAAAAATCTGCCCTGTTTGCTTCTTCTCCCCATTTTTCTGTCCTCGGGGTGAGACCTTCCCACAAGTAAAAGATGTCCAGAGGAAATACTCATTGCTTTTCATCTCACAGCAAAACACATTCATTCCAGTCCCTCTCTTAAAGGCTGTGAGAGGAGCATGTCTGAAGTGATTAAAATTGAGAGCAAAGCAAATCAGGAATGCATCTAAGCCACACCTGACAAAACAACCTGAAAAACAAAGCAGGATAGACCTTCTAATGACTTTGAATATGTATTGATCTATGAGACACATGCACTGAAACAATCATGACAAAGGCAACATTAGGATGAGAGAGGGTTGGACATAATCAGCTAAATATGTGAAAGAGAGCCTCTACTGTTCCAGGCACCAGTATCATACATGAAGTATAACATCTAACTTATTTTACTCAACTTTTACTTTCTTCCTAATAAATGCTACAGAGTGAAACAGTGTTTGCAACATGGCTTCTTCGTTACTTGCCCACATAAACATTTTCTCAGTGAAAGCGGGATCTGTGGACCTGCTGGGTTGACTTCACAAAACAAGGTCAGCTTGCAGCAGCTGCATTCCACCATACATTTTCTGGCAGCTTGGCAACCGAGAGGCTGCTCTACTAGACCACAAATTGGTGAAAAGGAACCCCCAAACTCTCCCTCACAGGTCTCCAGAACCCCACTGCATTCATATTCAGGCAATGCTTTTGTGTGCATGGATGATAGTCCTCTCACTGTGTTTGTAAGACAAAGCTGATGAACATTCCTTGTTCAAACTTGCAGACGTTTTTGTCATTATCCAACTGGGTATGGTTGTGTATGTATGAGGATGCATTTACCAAGTCCAGCTCCTGGGAGACTCTGCGTTTCCGTAGTTCCTCCATGCGGTCGCTGACGTCGCTAAAGCAGGTGTTGTAATATTCAGAGTACTCCTGGGCAAGGTCATCTATGTTGCCCAGAGAACCATCCTGACAGGAAACAGGTAAGCAACATTTTAGACAGGCGATTCTGAGAACATGCAATTCATTACAAAATGTATTTACGAAAGCAAATCACAACGCTCATTAGAGCTTTCTTTAAAAGCTAGACCATACCAGCACTTACTTTTTAATGTTTGTTTACCATAACACTTTTTTTAATTAAGGGGAAGGAAAAAAATAAATAATGAGGTTGATGACATGAACCCCCTTGGTCCAATCTTAGCCTGTCAGCCATTAACAATTTTTTTTTTAACTATGCCGAACACTTAGAAAAAACGGGTATATACTAAGTGTACGTTTTCTGTATGTATGCACTTCTTTTTTGGGTAAAAGAAAGCTTACGCATTAAAATGATGACAATTTAATTTCTCTCCATTCCTCTGGCTGACAACATATTCCATACAATCAGATACTCCTAAAAATATCCCTCCAAACAGTCAGGATTTTCTATTATGGGCATTTATTCATTCTTATCAGTTGCCATTCGCCAAGCCAAGGTTTGTTTCTTGATTTTGTTTTCATGGAGAATCACTTCAAGGATGCCCTTTACTACCTCAGGCATTCATTGAGTTTTGAAGAAAACACATTTTTCCTGCTCGCTGTAGTTTACATCGACACAGTTCCTGCCTTTGTGGGGAAGATTTGCTTGGGATTGAGAGAGGAAGCTGTACTCTAAACAGTGAGGAGCTCACCCAACACTGGCTGGAGTTGAACCACAACAGAAAGGGCACATAATGTAAGAAGTTTAAAATAAGCCTATATATATATTGCTTTTAATATCAATAGGCAATTCACGTCTGGAACATAAACTGATGGACAATTTTTTAAAAGAAAAACTCAAGATTTGGTTCCTCGAAATAGATTCAAGCCAAGTCCATGTATGTTGTAGCAGTGAAGACCATCTACAATCTCTCCTTGGTCAAAATATAGGCCAATCTGGTGGTGGTGGCCAACTGCTGAATATTCATAAGTGTTGATCTAATCTGTGCCAGGCAGACAGCTAGCATTGAGTCACTAAGCAGGATCCGAACAGTCTCCCTCAGTCTCTGCCTTTTCTTAACCGGACTCGCTATCTGGGTGCCAGGCCACAAATGAATGGATCACTGTGAGAGTGAGTGAGGACATGCACACAGAGGGGCATAAGGCCTTCTTCAGAGATGGGTGTCTAGTCAGAGAGAACGCATATTGGCATGCACATACATGCACGTAGGGGATTTAAAAAACATCGGACCAAAACAAACTGAGGCGAGCCAATTGTAAACAGCACAGCTCAGTGAACAGAGTAATAGAAAAGCAGTTGTTGTTGGCTTCACACAACATCCCAGACAAATACACATGTTTTTGTCTCAGAGGTATAGTTAAAGTAGCAGCTATCTGTCCTCCCACCCTCTTTAGCTCAGAAATCCTACTCTGGCCCAACATATGGTTTGAGATCATTGAGAATCCCAGTGGGAGCACTACCCAAACAGACACGTGCTCTCTCCTTCATACCTCACATTGACAAAAAGCACACTCATAATAGAACTCCATACTGACGAATCAGATGCCAAGATGGAGCCTATGTAGTCACGAATCCAAATGATGCAAAAAACAAGGCCAATTCCAGAGTTTTTGTGGGAATTGCACTAAGCTGCATGGCTGAAAAAGGGATAGCTTTAATGTACGAAATGAGTCTTACTTTACTCTAGAACTGCCTTACAAATGATTGATCTACAAGGAAAAGACATCCAGCATCGAAAGTGTTTGAAATAGTCACCAATGCTGGTGATGTAACAGCTACTCCACCCTGGATGTGAGGCAGGCCAACAGCACAATATCAATTGAACAATAGCAACAATAGTCATACAAAAAGGAACACCCACAGAAGAATGTGTGAGGCATTTTTCTGAGCATCTACAGTAAATAGATTGAATTGTAATTTACTGTAAAAGCTCCATGATGCTATCACCCCTAATGTGTAGTTCAAATCTGTCAGCCCTGCGGTAGGCCAATCGAACTTCAGCATTACGTTCCACAAGTTTATGCAACTCAGAAAACATTAACTCAGAGAAAGCTCATCCCTGGGAGTTATTGTCCACCATGTTTTTTTTAATACTGAACAAACATGGCAGACATTAACATTGTTTAGTATCAAAACACAAACTGCCCTTCCTTATTCGCAATAGATCACCATTTAAGTCATGACTAATAAAGTTACTACTGAGAAGCCACCATATGATTAGCAGTATTTCAATTTAAGACTCCTTCAGAGGGGAGCAAATAACCTGCATCCATGTCAGACAAAAAATTCATTTAATTTCTTATTTCTTTTATAAATACCATTAAAATAGGATGCTATTGCTGGCGACCTGCTCAGGGTGTACCCAAGCTCCAGCCCTGTGATTCTGCTTGGAAATCTGAAATATGCATTGCAAGGAGCAAATACATATCTTGTAAAATTCTTTTCCAGAGTACCATACATCAATAACTCATGTTAAGGTGAATCTGATCACAGTTATCATCAAAGGCACCGATAGATGAGGTACTAACTTGTTTGGAAATCAGATCACGCTGTACAAGTTTTTCACATAATCGCAACGTCTCAAATTAAATTTCTATACATTAACTGGAAACATGTAGATTTCAAAAGGCTACAAGCTTTACCTGTTTGTTCTGTTCCATCCCTCAGGCTTAAATCCCACTGTTCACATACCAGGGCTGAGTTATGCTGGGCCTGAATAGTAGTGTACATGACGTCACTGTCGTCAAACGGGTGGCTTTATGACTACTTGTTCTCCAGGGGAGACAACAACCACAGCAGTTTAGCACAGAGTCCTGTTTCTGTTTCTGATATTAAGTGGGAATCACAGTAGTTTGATGGCTTTCAGTTGTCAGGTTCAGGGCTGGGGCAGCTGGTTGAAATTACCCACCAACTGACTTTAGTTACGCAACGCTGGAGACTTTATTAGCTGTTGTTGTTTAGAGAAAAAGTGTGAGAAGTATTCAGGTTCAGCATGAGTCACTACCATTACACCTTATCCAAAGCAAGAAGGCAAGAAATGGCTGTCCAAGAATCCCAACGTCATAGAAGTCATGTCATCAATCCTCTAATCTACCCACCCTGTTTCTCAGGTTCAAACGTCATAGATTGGATTATTATCTTTTTTTTTGGTTTGTTCTGAGTGAAGCACCAAAATCAGCTGAAAAGTAGAAGGAGATAAGAATAAAGAAATAGATTAATTAGGGAAAACTGCCCATGTGCCACGGTGCATTTCTTGACTACAAAAAAAAACCCAGCGTTCACTGTGGTGCCAGACTTTTTGGGAGGGTAGGGCCATAGGCGACAGCTCACTCTTTTAGCGTTTCCTTAGGATATCCCTGCTTTGAGCCGAACAGCGCCCTGCCATCCCAGCAGAGGAAACCAGCCCGATCTCTCTGTGACCTCATTAATGAGCCCGGGCGGGGAGGGGCGGCAGAGTTGAAGTCAGGAGAGCTGGACCGGGCCAACAGCTGACAAAATCTGGCTATTAGACTTTGTTGAAGCATGACTTGAATGGATATCAAATGGCTTGGCTGCGCTTAGTTTTTCACAGAAAAATGCTGAGGAATATGATGCCACTCTGTATGAAGAGCTATGTGGGAGTAGGCACACAAAGATCACATCATCTAACTATAAGCTTTCCAGACACGATCAATAGGGAATCCTTAGGTTTAGAGATGAAGCTCTGTCTCCTCTGCAATCAATGTTTTTCTAAGGTTTGAGCTCCCGCCCACACTGTGTTAAACACCACAAAACTCTTTTCAAGAAAAGAAGGATTCCCTGCAGGCAAGTAAAATATTTCCACATGGCTTTGGCTCAACGTGACCTTTCGGGCAAAAACTGAAGAATTTTTTCGAGAAGAGTAAAAGAAAGTTATCAGTGACTGTCAGCTCTCCAGGATTTGGATTTCAAAATGTGTGTGTACTCTTCACTTTGTTAAGAACGATAGAAGTTATTTCACACAGATGAATCCCAAACACACACGGAATGTTTACAAGATGGAATCAAATGGAAACCGAAAGATGCATATTGTCTCAGAGTTTTTTTCCTCAGGTGACTTTCAATAAAGAAAAGTAGAGAGCTGTAGAAAAGCCCCCGGGTCTCCAGAGTTACGTTAGAAATGGAACCAAATTCCCTTTCAGAGACCTGTAAATACAACCACTTAAGAGTTATGACTCGTGTGTCCTAAACTGCTTTAGACTCTTTATTATTTCATATGCTATTAGTTCGCGTGCCAATACATACAAGTGGCTTTCCTGTAGAAAGTACAGTGAATTGAAAACCTCAGACATAGACAGATGGCCCTAAGAAACAACCTGTACACCAATTTGGCCTTAAATTTACTCACCAAATATATTTTAAACTCCTTTTGAAGCTGCCTTAAGTAATGTTAGTGCTAATTTGCACCGGCATTTTACAGGTTACCAGTTGATCAAATATAAAGTGTTTTGGGTATGCTCCAGTAAAAAGGTCATGTATTGGCCAAACCCAAATTTAAAGGGCATTCCCATGTAGGCTCCCTCGCAAAACAAAAGCTATTGAAAGTCACAGCGCAGTAGTTATACATAGCATGCTTGTTTTATTGGAACAAAGACACCAGTGCTCAGTGAGCTTGGTGTCTCACAATGTGTTTAAAGATAGGAGCCTGAGCATATTGTTAAGATAAAGTTCACCATAAAGGGCAATTTTATGAAAGTTTCAGTATTACGTTGTTAGCATTGACGCAATCTATCCAAACAGGTATACAAACGTATTTTGGGAATAAACATATGCAGTGATACTGTGCAAAGCATAGAAATCAACCTGACAACATGTCACACACATTATATTTCAATTGTATTCCTGCCCACCTCCAAATTCGAGTAGTTTACTATCTGTTAGATAAAAGGAAGCAAGAGAAAATGGTGCATTATCACGGTTGTTAAACTTGTTAAATGCAGCATGAAAAACTGACTGCCTGAACCTGCCA